ACTCAAACGGCAAAAACATTTAGCCGCAACCCAGGCATATTCTAATAAACAGCTGCTTGAAGAACTCTCAATATAACCTGAAAATGTTGTGTTGATTTTAGCATTCATGCTGAAAGTTATTTATGAAATGATAACGAAAGATACGCAGTTATAATAGCCGGTAATTTAAAAATTGTGAGCGACTTAAAAAGTTTAGATAATCCCAGCTTTACTATGAAGGACACTTTCAGCCGGAGAAACTAGAAAACACTTTCTAACATTCTTCGAAGCCGAAGAAAGTACTAAACACTTTTACATTCAATATTTGCTGCGGCAAATATGTGTGTCTCAACGGTGTACAAAACTAATTACACGCACCCACATTTATTGCCTATTTACTTTGCCGAAACGGTTAGTCAGTCTGGCATTCTTTTTAACTTTCAATTATGGCCATTTATTTCTTCGGATAGCCGGCAAACGCTCAGGCCATTAAATTAAAGCCAATCTTATGGCCAATTGAATTTTTATGCATAAACACTATGGGGCATGCGCATGCATATGTATGTGGCTACGTTTTTTATGCGCCGATGTGTGTATCTAGGCATTATTAACGGCATTTTAAAAATTCAGAAATTGGCATGCACTAAACGTGCAACCGAAGTGACGGACGCAACAGCGGCACCCACATTATTTTCACTCACAACACAGGTGAGCTACTTGCATGCATTGTTGCTGCTATTGTTATAGTAGTTGCTTTTGTTTTCATTTGATTTACTTTTTCGCATTTTTTTCTGCTGTGGCACATCAAATCGGCAGGAATTCGCGATGGTTGCACATCAGTCAGCGCGCAGCGAATTAACACCAATTGGCATACCGACCGCGTACAACTACCATGGCAACAACAGCAAACGACATATCACAACAAATATGCAAAATGAACATGAAAAGAAATTAATAATAACGAAAAATTGCCAATTTCGCCTCGTTGACGCAAACTTCAAAATTTCACTAATTCAGATTTGATATTAAAACCCAAAAGCGCGGTGTGTGTACGGAATAACGGTATATACAATTTGCCAAACTTTAACTGTCATTTCACTAATTCACATAAAATGCACATAAAACTAACCCTTTTTTAAAAACATTTTCAATAGTGAGGGAGGCAACCCCCAGGTGAACTGCCACTCACAGGACTTGTCGGCCACACCCTCCAAGCCACACGCGGCTGCAAGGAAATACATCGTCGGCTGGTCGGCTGGTCGGCTGTCTGCTCACATAGACACAGGTTTTAATGGCTGCCTCGCTTATATTCCTTCAAATGCCCCTATGCATAAAGTATCATAGATGAAGCGTCGGAAGCATAACAAAAGTCAAAGTTCCCGGCCAACATAGACCGTTATGTGTACAAAAAGAACGCAAGTGCACTGGATCCACAGCAGAATTGCCTTTAGTCACGCTAGTACATTTGGCAAGAAATAAACACTGCAATAGTTACTCGCCCAGCTAGCACAGCTGGTAGTTTTTTCCGAAACAGATTGGTTAGTTTTGTTCCTCAATTGGGGTAGTTGTTTATTTGTTCAGTTTTTATTCTTTAAATTCCCAAACATTTGCTACAAGCATTCAAAATACATAACTTAATGCAATGTCGAAATATAACGCAGGGCTAACATATGTACTGACGAAAGCGCTCATTAAACATCATCAAAAATCTCATAAATTTAATGAGAGTATAAAAGTGAAAAAAGTTGAAGGCCAGCTGCCTTCATTTTTTGCACCAACTTATCTTAGTTTGAAGAATATAAGTACAGCATCCACCAGTAGGGATGACGTGATTTTGGGGGACTGTGTTGAAGTGTTCACTAAGGTTTGTCATTTCATCAAGTCATGTTTCGTTTTGGTGCAACGCTTGGACATTGTCCATGACTATAACGCAACTTCACTTACTCCGGTGGCTACTGTAAGAATTCTTCACGCAAAACACGGTAGTCATTATGTTCGTTTCGAGCCCACTTTTCAACGAATAATTGCGAAATTTGAAATTGACTATAATTCCGGCGATAGCGTAAAGGAAATATCGCTGTCATCAGGCCAATCCGAATAAGTTGGTTGAAGGCAGTTTTGGACCATTGGTTCTTTATCCAATGGCATCATGTCGAATTTTACGGTTGGAATTTGCTGGCACTAGAAAGCAACATCGATATATCAGATTCTCAGATACGGCCCATTTCTGGGTGAGTCAAATTACCCAATCGCATTCTAAAAAATTTACCGTTTGGTGTGGATTGCGGTTCGGCGGCATCAACGGATCTTACTTCTTTGGAAATGAGGAAAGAAATAGCGTCACCATCAATAGCAAGCGTTAAAATTTTGTTTCATTATGATTTTCTACTATTATTATTATTTTTTTTTTTATTGAAATCAAACTAGTTTCAGTCTAGTATACCTATATGCAACTGCTGAAAAAATAGGTCACCAGCAATCTTACATTTTAAGCATGAAGTGATTACCATAATTTAACCCGTTTGAATTTTGAAATCTTGTGCACTTTGCGAATGGCATCGGCTGGTTTGTGTGAGAATGATGGTATTCCTTCAGAATATCTATGTGAGCGCGAATATTTTATTTGCAGTGAGAAAATCAATTTAGTTAATTGCTGAATGTTAATTTTTTATGTTGGTTGCCAAGGACTTTTGTTGGAGTTTCTGCGAAACAACATGAAATATATATGTATGTATATGTATATACATATATTTGTAAGTTCCTAAAAAGCAGCGAAATTATAAGTAGGAATAATTAGAAAAAGGCAGTGACATGGAAAAGTTTTTATATTAATTCGAAATCAGTAATGAGAATGAGAAACTTTGAAGAGAAAAATCGTCTGCAATGCGAAAGTCACACACACTCACTCACACGCGCATATGCTCAACTTGTAGACGCATATTGAAATAATAGTAGCTCGAGCGATATTTGGAAATTTTACACCAACCGAAACAACGAATTTAAAACTTAGACACCAAAGACCTATAATTTTTGTCTAATTAAACATTCCAACGACTTTGTGGTTGTTCAATCAAACAAGCACACAAACAATTATTTCAATATCCACAATACCCACAATAAGTACCAGAGTATATGTGTATATCGCATACATATTTAGATCTGCTTTATACATACCAACATGCTCCAATTTACAAATTGTATGAGTAGTTAACAGCAAAGCTTAAAATTACCCTTGCACTAACAATGCGGTAGGCGCCGCCGTGCAACAACAAAATTAGTGTACCTACATATTTTTTTCGTGTATATACATACATACATACTTATACAGCAGTTAATTCGAATCGGTGTTAGGATAAATGTGTTAAAGCCGCCGTTAGGCAATTAAGACGAACTGAAAAGGAGAAACAAGTGCCTCCAATTTGCCGCAAATTTGAAAAAAGACGGTGTCCTAATAACCTATAAATTTTATAGTGTTTTGTTGTTAAACCAGTTATCGATTGATATATAATTGAATATGTAATCACATGCATATAATATTGAAGAAGAAAAAGTAGTATATATAAGTTTATCCAGGAAAAGGAATACAGTCTTCATGGAAGATGCTTTACAGTGAATTAATATAAATATTACACTTACCTACATACATATATACGAATATACGTAAGGCTATGACTTAACCTATCCGCCGAAGAAAATATCTGGAGGCGTTTGATGTGAAAGATGAGACGGCGGACCGTCTTGTTAGCAATAGAAATAATCCGCTTCGATTTCACCAAATTCCGGGAAAAAGCCGATCAACATCATGTTAAAACGCTTGCTATTGATGTTAACGGCATTTCCCTCCTCATTAAAAGTTATAGGAACGCATAATTCCACCATTCCACAAACCTCACCAAACGATCAATTCTTAGGGATCCCAAAAGCCACAATTTTACTTGTTGACAGAATTATTAAGTCAGAAATATACCTCATTTGAGAAGAAGATTTTTCAATGAACGTGAATTTGTGAACTTTTCGGAAATAATGTCGCATAATTTTGAAACACTGTACCAAAGTAAAATGTGACATAATGAATGACCTCAAACTCAAAAATTCGTAAACAAGCATTGCCGCCGGGATGTATCAAAGTTATTATTTATTGTATTTATAAACTGCATTTTCATTTTTAGCCTAAGTGTAGGCAACACTTTCCTGAGTTTGTACTAATTTTTAAATAAGATTTTGGAAAAAGTCATTTCGTATTTTGTCAATAGATGTCGTTGCAGTCGTATATCTCCTGTGTTAGCAATCACATTGTGTCATACTATATCTTGTTGGAAAGGTTAGATTTTAAGCCTCATTTAAAAAATTAATGAATTAAATAAAATTAAATTCGCGGAAGATGAAAAAAAGTTACAGCTGTTCAAAAATGACGGAAAATATTGAAAAAATTAGCCATATTTTGGAATTTTTTGTATACAAAATTCAGGAATGCCACGCAAGTTACCAATGAAATTTGTGAAGTTTACGGAGACGGTGCTGTATCAGTTCGTGTAGCACAAATATGTTTTGCTCGCTTGCCTCCTAGAAATTTCGATTTACACTGATTGAATAATGTCTCTAGCGGAAAAATGGACATTTGTTTATTTTTTATTATAAAAAATAATTAAAAGTTTGATTAGAAATACGAGGTGACCCCAGAGAGTTATTTTCAAATTTATTAATAGTTTTTTTTTTCTTAAAACAAAATCAATTGAAGTTTTGAAAAAACCTCTCAATATTATCTAGGGAGAACTATTATCTAACGAATTAATTTAATTTTTGGATTTTTTGATCCAGCACCAAGTTTTGACTACGTTCTTCAGAGAAACGAGAAATTGCTGACATTTTTAATATTTCTTCGCAAAAATGTACATACATATGTCACATTCTTTGAATGTTGTAACATCTTGTAGTAAAGAAATTTTAATCATAATTTGTTACATAGATGCATGTAACTATTTTAATTCTAATTTTTTTCCTACAATCGTTTCTTCACTTACCCAATCCCGTATCCGATCCATAAATCGTTTGAATGAGTCCATACGCCTCAGAGCCATGACCAAACGACTGCAAACTGTTGAAATCAACACAAAAAGTCGATGAAATAAAACACCGCCATTAAAGCGGCCCTGACGGCAGGTAAACATTGAGGCGCACACAAGTGACACACACGACTAACAGGTGGACGGGAGAGTTGATGGATTGAATGTGCAGTGGACACGAAAGTCCCATTACATGCGAAAATGGGACGAGCGGAGAATGCGAATTGAAACACACGGCGGAGAGGAAAAGAAATGCACGCGCAGGTACAAACAAAACGGCATTAAAAGCAATGCGCCCAGGGACAACACTGTCAGGGCTGGCGGCAAACACTGAACTGCAATAACACTTACTGGCTCCGCAGGAGCTCTCCACAGTATATGATATTCACTTGATTTTGATGATATTTCAGTGATAAACTTTATAAACCTTAAATTAAGCGCACTACACTTTCACTTAGAACTTTCCGATTTGCGTTTTCTTTCGTTATGCTTCACTATTTTCTCGCAGAATTCGCAGTATTCTTAGCGGCGCTAATTTCGTTTCGATGCGCCTGAACTCGATTAATTCGATTGCGTTTTACGATTGCGGCTTGGGCCGTCCAACTGAACCGACTGAAGTTATTGAGCGACTGCTGGGCCGCGCCAACCAGCGGCTAGCAGCACTTGCTTACCTACTTCTTGCCAGCTGGCTGTCTGTCCGTCCGTGCGGCTCACCGTCTTATTGGGCGGCTCACTGACAAACGCGCCGCTGCACACACGCTTTCTGACGCGCTGACGGCATGACAAAGTCGCTGACTAACTCGCATTTGACAAGTCGCCGCAAACTGCGAGTAACAAATGAAAATGCAATAAAAGCACTTGCATTGCTTTCTCACCAATTTTTTGCACCGCCACCACCCTCTCGCCTTTCCGCACCGTGTCAACCACCCGCGCTCGCTTTGTATGTCGGCGATTGTCAACCTTAACCAAAAGTAAGTTGATAGCGGATTTAATGCAATCACTTGTTTTTGTTGTTGTTGCTGTTTTAGCTGATGATACCTTTATTGTTGCGTGTAGCTGATTGCCAGGCATTGGAGAGCATTTGTTGTCATGAAGAATAAATAAATAACACCCAAAAGGAGAACACTCACAGCAGCAACAACAATAACAAAACAAACACTAATAGGTAGCAGTGATAATAATAATAATAATAAACAGTAAATAATTCGGTTCGTGCGCGCATGAACCAACAAAATACGCGAGCAAAGTGAAATTTAACTTGACGACGGATTTACACTACCGAAGACACAGTGAGGCGAAATAGAACAAATTGTTCGAAAAAAAAAGAATACAAGTTACGTCTAAACTTCCAACTTCCACACTTGTGTTTAGATTCTAATATTTTTAGTTTTAATGGAGGAATTAAATAACCCTCGAACCAATTTTTCCCATAAACCCATATTCCATAGACCACCCAAATATATAAACTAAAATCTGTCTCCGATGCGGTATTTCTCTACTCGCTTCTGCTCTAATTTATTCACTACGGAAGAATCATAAATGAATTTGAATTTTTGACATTAATAACGATTTTGTAGGATTGTGCGCTGGGGCGTCCACCTCAAACCCAGCCACGTAAAAAAAACTCCGTCAGAATTGGGAAAGACTCCCTTTCAATCTACTCTTGGAGGAAATAATTCAAGCTGCAGAACTAAATATGTAAGGTCTGTCTCTAATGGTAGTCATAACTTCGAAGTCGTATATAATTTCGTCTATGTTGGAACCAGTATCAACACCAACAATAATGTCAGACTCGAAATCTAACGCAGGATAACTCTGATGGAGTAGGCAACTGAGAAGTAAAGTCCTCTCTCGAAAAACAAAAACCCAAATCTATAAGTCACTCATTATTCCTATCCTACTATATGGTGCAGAGGCATAGACGATGACAACATGTGATGAGTCGCCGTTAGAGGTTTTCGGGAGAAAGGTTCTGCGGAAAATTTATGGTCCTTTGCGCATTGGCCACCGCAAATATCGCATTCGATGGAACGATGAGCTGACATAGATCAGCGCATTAAAAGACAGCGACTACGCTGGCTAGGTCATGCCGTCCGAATGGACGAAAACACTCCAGTTCTGAAAGTATTCGACGCAGTGCCCACCCCATTGGAAAGACCAGTTGGAGAAGGTCCTGTCTTCGTTTGGAATGTCCAATTGGCGCCACCTTGCGAAAAGAAGAAACGACTGGCGCGCTGTTGTTAACTCGGCTATAACCGCATAGGCGGTGTCTACGCCAGTAAAGAGGATATGAAATAAAATGCGTGGAAATAGATGAGATGAGAGATATAAAAGTCAGGGCCTGCAACAAATCAAATCAAATTCCATATAAAACTGTTTGCTACCATAATAGACTTTCTACTTAACCCACTGTGCGCCAGTGTACCTTTCCTTCACTTGGCGGGTGTAGTAATACTATGTAAGTATGTATTATATGAAATCAATTTTTGCTACACATTAGAGGCCTCTACGCCCCGAATGCTCACAATTGTATAACGTGAGTTGTTAAGCGTGTAGAATAGAGCGTGGAAGGTGCTACGAGTACATGTGTAAGCAGTAAAACTGCAAGCGCCGCAAGTGAAATTGGGGCCGCAGAGGCCTGCTTGGCGGTAACGGCGCTCAAATGTCTGATGAGATTAACACAAAGTAGGAATCACTATCAAACACAGGTGCTGACACACATTTACACACAAGCGCTCATTGCTGGCTTGTAGAATTTTTCAACGTTCAATAGGCAAAGTAATAATAACAACTACATAATTTGTATGTACCAACAACAACCAATGGTAACAATGAAGTAAACCTGTGCAACAACAATTCGGTAGCGCTATTCGTGGGGACGCTGGCAAAAGGAGGACGAAATATGAGTCGATCTAGACGGGCACATAGCGCGAAGCCGATGGAGGCCGCCGCAAGCATGTGCCGCACGCTTGTGTGTGTGTGCGATTGTGTGTTTGTGGCGGCGTGCGATGAATGCAAAATGGGAGTTGGGTAGCTTTTGGAATGCAAGCCATCGGCAAGTGATGGCATGTAATAGGAGTCACTCGGCTGCCTGTGATGTATGCAAGTGTATGTGTGTGTGTATGCATATATGTGAAGCCCTACATTTTATTTATGCATTTACTTATGGTTACTTCTTTCGAATCTTATTGCCATGCGCTCATGTGTGATTACTGTTACTGTTACTATTGTTATTGTGCTTGGTTTTGTTGTTGCCTCAGCAATTGTTTATCATTATTGTGTATTTGAAATGTTAATTGTTGTTGTTGTTGTATTTTTAAGTGGCGGTTGTCACTCGCTGGCATTGTTTAGAATGAGAATTTCGTGGCTGACACAGCAACGTCGAACTTCTGCACATAAACTGTGGAAATTTGTAGCGATGTTAGCGCAAGCGTGGTGGAGCATTATTCATAAGTGCGAATACACTTTGCAAAAATGCAAAAATGGAAGCGAAAAGTAAAGTTACACAGAAAATTTACACAAAATTGGGAATTACTTAGAAGGTTATATACAGTTAGAATTTTGAAAAAAATTTTGACAAATTTATTTTCTTAATTAAATTACGGTGAATATTTTTGAAGTTACAAGCAAATTTGAAAAGACGTTTCAGAGTGATTGGAAGTACAAAGCCAAACTTGAAAATGGCTAAGCCGATTAGTCTCAAATTTTAACACCAGCTTCTTAAGTATATTTTTCAGTAATTAGTTTATTTAAGGTCAAAATTTTGGTCATAAAGAGATGTGTTTTTTGAGAAACCACCATTTTGTAAAAATTGTTTTTCTTATTCTTTCGATTTGCTTTACTAGATTTAACATAACTTTAACGAAGTCTGATTGGTTTTTTAGTTTCAGAGGTCCCAGTTCAGAAATAAGGTGGTCATCTCAAAACGTCTTTTGTGAGAGTAGCTTCCGTAGATGAGCTGTAGTGCCTTTACATATACAAATTGTTACTAGTACTATGTCTTAAAATACAGTTAAAAAATGTCACAAAATGTGTACAAATTTTTGAAATAATAAATTTAAAAGCTTTTTACAGAAAAGAATCTGGAAAATTCACTTTTTTCTGCCTACTTATTGTATATAACCTCTTAAATTAAAAAAAAAATTTTAATTTCTATGCGTTTATTATATTGGATTGGCCTTCATTGTGAAATTTAGCGAAATCGGTTAATAACCACGATCATCTCCCACATATCGAATCTGTTCGAACTTCCAAAATTGTAAGCCATATCTAAGCAACTACTCGATTTAAGCGGAAATTAGCATTTAGCTTTCCTTTAATATCCACGTGAATATAATCACACTCATTTTCTATACGGTCCTTTGAAAACATAATCACATTTTTGCCTTTAAAAAAAAAATACTAACGAACCAAACTTAGCTCAAATGAAACAACTCTGATCCAAAAATAATTACAATTTATATATTTCATTTTCTTACTTTGAAAAGCGAATTGGGCATAGCTATAAAAGATATCTTAAAAAAAGTGTGCGTGTTCTTTTTTAAATATTATAAATTTTTGTAGAAAATAAAGGAAACTGTTTCATAGGCTCCTCTAGACCTCATAAACCAATATTATTATTTTCTTTTTTATTTTTATTTTTATTTTTTTTTTCTTGAGTTTATACCGAATAATGCTCACAATGTTTGAGGAATTTCGATGGAAGTAAGTGTCATCGGTCGAGCAGAATGATGCCTGAAAGAAATGATATCAGTGAAATGATTTCGCTTCGTACCTAGATTTTAGAAGAATTTATAAAATTTAAATATAAAGACCAAACAATATCTTGTCTAAAAATGGCGCTTGAGAACTACAGCGAAGTAGCATTGGCTTCAAAGGTTTAATTAAAACGAATTAAATTTCTTTGATAAAGAAGGATCATCTTTACACATGTGAAAGTTAACTACAGTAGTTTTTCGAATACTATGTTGCATTGTCTTACATGTATATTATTTCGATATTTTATATCTTATTCGTGCAACGTTTTTTGCCCGCAATGAACACCTAAACTACTGAACCGATTTTAGCAAAACTTACCACACTGTCCAGTTACAACCAACTTGGAAGATAGGATAATAAAACCAATCCATATATGTATAAACAACTGGTTGAAAGAGCATAGAAATACAGTGACATCTCTATTAAATGGACGCTCTAATAAGCGGTCATCTCCATTAACCATGCATATTGGCCGGTCTCCCAATTTGTTGTTGCTTATTAAGTACAATATATTAAGTGGACAACTCCATTAACTGCATAGAAAGGCTGGTAACCAGACATTTAAAAATCAACCTTAAATTCATTATTTTTCCAATGAAATTTATTTGTATGAACATATTCAGAGTTAAATCTCAAGTACAATCACTTGGATTCTTATACGAATAAAAATGTTTTCTCCTTTATTCGTAAATAAAACTTTCACTGTATTGAATTGTTAATTATACGAATAATATTATATATTATTTATATTTTTTTCACTCCATCTTCCGAGGAATTCGTTTGGGAAGCAACTCAAAAAAATGCTCTCTTAGAATAAACCATGAAAAGAATAAGAATTTTTTATGTTTATTTGAAACTAACTAACACACTTAAGCAGTAACAAAAAATTATTAGAGTCGAGTTTAATACTAAGAACTACATGAAAACTAATATTGTTTGAAAAAATATTTAATCATATTTGTAACTGTTGTAACTGCCTGTAAATACACAAATTTATACA